TTAAACATTACCTTGACCAATGCAATTTTTTTTTCTGTAGCATCTTACATGGTGGTGAACGTACATTTATGCCACTCTTGAATTTTTATGAACATGTAAATTAAAATAAACTGTAGTTGCATGTAGTCTTGTCAAGACATGTCTTTCTACAGCTGTTTCTTAAATACTGTATTTCATCTTAATTAGATTAACTTTTCAATTTTTATAGGTATGTAGTCTAAAATTTGTAGGTGGTTAAAAAGAGTATTCGGTTTAATGAGTCGGTGAACTGACTGAATGCTATGGTTTGTTAACCAAACAAGGCTTACACTGTACTTCATTTTGCAGCATAGATAGTAGAAGGAAGGTGATAGTTCAGTGGTCGAATAGCTTTGATAGGAAAGAATGTTAAAGGCATCTCAGACTATGCCTATTAAGGAATTAATTTTGATCAAAAGTAGTCCTAAAATTAATAAACATAAGGAAAGAGGGATGTGGAATTTTTACCAAAATTGACCTTGTTGGGTCTGATTTGCAGCTTAGGTCTAAAGGAGGAACAAAACCCTGCTCTGGATATGATTGCTATTTACGTTTTAATTCTTTGATCAAAACAGCTTCTGCTCACAAGGATGACTATGGAAGAAAATGCTTCACAAGTAGACAATATAAATCAATAGCTGAGTGGTCCTGAGACGAGTAGCCTGAGAAGCAAGGATGATTTTCTTCGTGCTCTGTGAATTAATTATCAAGTCTAGCAATGTCTTCATGATATGATTATTTAGTATTAGTATTTATATTTTATTTTTTAAACAAAGGTAATTAACTCAGAGAGCTAACCTCTTACCAAAAGAGGCTTGCATGCACTTTGAGCATCACTTTATCCAGAGGCAGAAAGCCCCTCTGTCTCTCACAGCAGTTCCTAAATACTGACCCTTGAAATCTTGAATTCAGTTAGTCTCAGAGGGATGGGGTGTAAAAGTGTCCTATAACAAAGTTTCTGTGCTACTATGCAAGTTTTGAGGCTTTGCTGTGTGATATCTTTGAATTTAATGTTGAGCTGCATCAGTTATTTTTCATACTTCTGCACATATATAATACATGCAATAAATGTATTTTCGTACATGTTTCTGACACAGTATTTTGTGCCATTACAGATTTTTGGATGGCTTAGCTGTCAGCAGATTTTCTGAAGTGTCATGTGCATATGCTCGCTCTGGTACTGTATTTCTCGCTTTGCTGTGCTGATTCAGAACAACCAGCAAGTTAATGTTTGCTTCTCATTAAAAAAAAAAAACAAAAAACAAAAAAAAAAAAAACACAAAACCACAAACCAACAAACAAAGCCACAAAAAAAAACCCACCAAAAAAACCCAAACAAACAAAAAAACCCACTCAATATTTTTGTATCTAAAATTCTCAAGGAAAAGGGAAATTTTTATTGAAGGATGTCAGGTCAGTTACTGGTAGAAATACACATGTAGTTCCAATACTTGCAGAGTATGATTTCTTTCCATGTACACTGCTTACAGCGTAGCAAAAAAGAGATGACGTTTCAATATTAAAGCTTTTTAATACCTTTACAAATAAGATATTTAAATGTTGAATAAGGATTTAAATGTTGGCCTATTTTAATGCTAGTGCATGAAAATTACACTATTAAATCTGGGTTCTATTATCCCACTGTTTAGTTTGTAAATAACAAAAAGACAAGATGAATTCATTATTTGAGGGAAAAGAAGCATCCTCAGTTTAGTTACAGAAAGAAATTATATTATTTTACAAAAATAAATTATTAAAAGTCAAATCACCAGACATTAAAAATGGAAAATAAATGTTCAGATTAGGAAAAATTATGGCTATTACTAGTGGTGTTAGATGAAAAGCTAGTCTATGTTCTGTCAAAATTTGAAATATTAATTGTATTAATACACTTCCTAGATGTGGTAACTTAATGTCATAATGTCCAGCAAATTACAGAAGGATATCTCTTTTGCCCATTTTTATTTTCTGGTAACTTTTATGGAAATAAAATTTTAAGGATGTTTCAGTCTTTTCAACTATACAATGAGTAATTTTCTTTACTTCCTGCTCAAACAGTCCCAGCAGTCTGAGCCGTGTTGCCTGGATACCTCATCTCCTGCAGCAGCTGTAAATTGGACAATTCAACAGGAGGATTCATATTCTAAATAAAAGAGAAATCTTGGTGCAGGGAGGGGGAATCATTTGTGAGCTAGTAGCCTGGGTGGTGCTGTAAATATTGCTGTTGAGAAAAATAAGTTTTTATTTGCCCAGTTGTACAGGGTGAATCAGGAGAATTATTGGTATGTTCAGAATTTGGTTACGTACATGAGGATTACACGCAGGATAGAAGTATGTTGTAGCCCAAGATGTCTGACCCCTTCAGGCAGAATAGCTCTTATTTCTATTGCTTGATTTTCATTTTTTCCTTTCCCTGGAATATATTTAACAAGCGGTAAGCTTTGACTTTGCATTCAGAAATATGTCTGTCACTTTTCATAATTCACTTCTGCAGGCTTGTGCTTAACTTGTGCTCACTTTAAAAATAATGTAAGCCAAAGTTAAGTGACTTGCATCTACATATGTATATGAAAAGCTATATTAATAAATTGGAATATAATTTTATCAGTTATTCTACATTTTATTATCTTGGATGTTAGTTTATCTTGCCTGCTGTGTTTTAGATTATCCATGCTTTGCAAAAAGATTTAGTACTTTTCTTTCTTCTTTCCTTTCGTCCTTCCCACAAGTGATTGCTGACAGTTTTATCAGTACTGGTTTGATTCAGAATTCAGGTTCCTGTAAGCAAAGCAGCAAAAGTAGTAGAATGGATAATGCATTTCTTTTAGTTTTCTTGCACGTGTATTTGCAGAACTTGCTAATTAAGTAAACAGGGTTTAAGGAAAATGATGATTGACAGTTTATTCATGTTTAGAGTTTTTTAAAGTGCAAAGTTTAGAAAATTGATAGTACAGTCTGCTACGTCTGTAATAAGCTTAAAAAGCTATTTACTAACGGATTTAATTTCATTTTCTCAACTTAATTCTTCAATTTTTACATTGCACTGCTGGCCTGTGGAAACAGTGAAATGTACAAAAAGTTCTGTTTGAGTTTCACATCTGGAGCTGGATTAAGCTTTCTAATGTGTGCTTAGTACAACAGGAAGCTTCTAGTGCTTTAGAAAAGAGCAAAGCCTTTTTTATGTACCTCTGCTTCTCAAATACTAATCTTCATTTGCATTGTTAAAATCATAATATATGGAAGAAGCTGTGGATTTAGAATGTCATAAATTGGCTGGTTTTCCCTTGAACTTGAAGTAAAAATGAAAAAATTATTTTCATATTTTTCTCTCATTTAGCTTCTTTTCTCATTTTGCATTTTTTCTTACTGGCAGTTGTACTGTAGTTTATCATAACATTTTCTTCTGAAGATTATTTTTTTGTTGTTCGCCTGAAGGTAAACTAAATACTGGAAAATTCAAGCCTTACAAAATTATTTGACAATGAGCACCCTTTCTGTTAACAGGGGCTCTGATTATTATGAGACCTCCACATTCATGCATATATGCATGCTGTGAGCATAGCTCTGCAAAAGGTGCTTTCTCATTTAAGGGAGTTTCTCAGTTGGCTGTTGTATGTATGCATGAATGTCTTTGTCCTAGTAAACTTTAGTTCCAGACACTTACTCATACTTTAGTAGTGTTATTGCTCCCTCTTGTGGCTCATGCAACTCCGGAAGTTTTTTTTAGACCTGAGGTTTTTTTGTTTAAAGTTTGTCATTCTAGCAAAGTGTGAATATGAGCAATAAACATAAACCTCAGACTTCTGTAAAAGTTCTATGACCAAATTTATCTTCTTTTTTTTTGTGTTTTTTTTTGTGAACAACATAAAAATATTTACTGTATTCAGGCTGTAAGTCCTATTAAAATGAGAACCACCTGGGGCAGAGTGAGGTTGCCAAACAGTTTCTGATTTAGTTCTGCACAAAAATAGAGAGGTGACTGTGTGATATTTGTTGAACATTGACATTTAGCAGAGAAATCCCTACTTATGTAATATATTTCTGTTGTAGAAGTGTGATCATAGATTTTTTTTCTCTTTTTTAAGGTTTAAATCCCTTTTGATTACATTGTTTATGGACTTTTTGTATTTCTAGTTTTCAGCACAGCAATATACCAGTGAGCTGAGTCTACAGTGTATTTGAAGTTTGCAGAACAGTTTAGGAGATCTAAGCATTCTTTCAATGACTTGAATTCTATTTCAGCGAGTTAGCTTAGACTTTTTTGTGTGTATCTTTTCCAGTTGTATTCATTACTTGCATTGTGGAGGTATCTTATCTGTCTAAGTGTTCAGCAGTGTTGGACTCTTCCTTCCCACATAATAGTACAATACCCAAAAGAATTCTTTCCAATGTTAATGGGAACACAGGATACTGCTTTCTGGGTACCACTTGATCGAGGCTACATGTACTATTTGATTTGAAGCCTGAAGTAATTAGAAATAAAGGCTGAGACTGTAGTCAGAATTGTACATGACAAAACTTGAGAATTCCTTTAAGATCATCTACTTAAAATACTTATTTGAGCCCTTTTAGATTGTTAGTGTCTTTGGCTGTGATTTTAAAGTGCAATGGTACTTCAGAAACTGGAGAGAGTTTTTTTTTGTTTTTGTAAGTGTTCATTTATTTATTTATTTTAATTCACAACAGTATTAGTGACTGCGTTCAAAAAACAAACAAAAAAATCTTTCCAAGCTACTTACCAAAAGATATCATAATTTTAACATGACAGGATGCTGGTTTCCCTGTAGCTCTTTGGTATTTTGTAAGTAGTTAAATTTCTTTTGCATGCTTGCAAAAGTCCTGAGTAAGAGCAGATGTTGTCTCAGTGGGAAATAACTTCATACCATGAAATTTCTGAGCTGACATGCTTAGAATACTTGACTCTCTTGAGCTGTTTTCCCATATGCTTTTGGAAGTCTTCACGTTTTGGTTTACCTTTCTAGGAAACCTTCTCATCCTCAGCTTGAAGCTTTCATTAAACATATGTCCAAAGGGTCTGCAGCCCAAATGGATGGTTCCCTAAGCAGCCTGCCTCGTTACCCCAGTCATTCTTTGTGCGAAATGGGAGAGCTTACACAGACAGGTAAGTTTCTGTAGCAGCTTTATCTTTTCTTCTGCTCTGTTAGATACGGTCTGCATGAAAAGGGATCTTCTGTTTTTCTTTATATTGAAATAAATGCGTTTTTATGGGAAGCTTAGAATGTTGGTCATAGCCTAGGTTATGCTGGGATATGAATTAGACTCTCTACCGTAGAAGTGGTAACAGTTCTGGAAACTTTGCTTTCCAGTTCTGTTACAGATCGATCACACTTGGATCTCTTTTAACTTTATTTGTAGTAAGTCAGAGCACGTTTCCTTCAAGTTGCTTCACACCATAAAATTGCTTTTTCACCTTTGTGAAAAATGACTTTTTTTAATCCCTCCTGAGGAATATGTGGTACTCTATCACTGATTGGTTTGTAATTCAGAATAGCCCTGGAAGTGAAGAACACTTAGTTGCCAGTTTTTACCTGTGATGTAACTACTGTGTCCCCTGCAAGAGATTCAGAGGTAACAGACACGTTTACTTGTGTTATGGAAATAGAAAAACTGTATACATCTGGTGCTATTTTCCTTTCCCCTTCCTCAGCTTTGTAGTGAAGTTCCAAGAGCGCGCTTTCTGGCATATTTATTTATGTATATTTTCACCAGAGGAAAATGAAGTTTATTTTCTTATTCCATCTATCAGTTCTGCTGAGCTAGTTATTGGGAGAAAAGGTGGAAAGACCAGCAATTAAATTCCATACAACTTTTTTTAAAAAGGAAGTTTTGAGACTTCATCAATACTACTACTGAGAGAAAGGCTGCTGAACTCCGCTAGTGAACATAGCGTTTAGTTTATCTGTACCAAAATGGTAGGGGAGATGAGAGGTAACTGGAAGTGCTGCAGTCAGGGATTTGACTATGTAGAATAAAGGATGTGGAGAGCTGGGAGTATTGTGGTGCTGGAGGGGTCACTGGAAATATTAGAAAGAGACAAAGGGTTTGGGACTGGAGAGGGAAACTGGAGGAAGTGCTGGATCAGCGCCATTTGGAAAATATCTGGGACTGCTGTCAGCAGATGATAGAAAATATGAGGAGAACAGAAGGTAAGAACACAGAAGTATAGAAGCAAGTTGCCGTTTTGTAAGAAATATTTTCACAGATTCCACAGCACTTGGAAGTGTTTGTGTTCTCCACCTAGAACAGCCAGCTGAACTGGTGTGAACTGAAGTCCAGATATTTCTTTGCATTTGTTTTTCTGCAATGTATTCGTATCAGTGCATCAAAAATAAAAACACAGAAGTGCTTTCCACAAATACGTGGAAACATCTTGTTGCACAACTGGTTAGAAAGGTGATCGTGAAAAGGGTTAGTGACGTGAATTTTTGTCTTCAACATTCATTAATTCAAATTGCAAATTCACATTAATAATACTTTTCTGTTCTTCTTATTCATTTCCTGGCTGCTGGTAATTTTACTGGCTGGCCTAAAGCACAGCATTCACTGCCTGTCTGAAGACCTGACTCAAATGCAGTCTGGATCCATCTTCATAACCATCTTACTTTTATAGTCATGGTAGACTCATTCAGTCTGTGAATGACTATAAAAGAACAAAGAACAAATCCAAAGAACAAATATTAAACCACTAAGGTTTTAAACAAATTTTATGGAACCAACCTTTTCTATCTATATATCAGTTTAGCTCCTAGAATCTGAGGGATGCTGAAGGGTAGAAGGTATCTCGTATTTTGTGCAATTTTCCTAATAGTCAAGCATAAATGAAGTTCAGTTTCACAGTTCATAATGTTTTAACTAGTTGTTCATTCATCAGGGAGACTCCTAGCTGTATTTTTTTTTCCTCCAAAACTAAGAACATTCTAATCATGCGTTGTAATTCTTAAAATTTCTCTTTTCAGGGGTTGTACAGCACTTGCGAAATGGACAACTATTACGAGAAATTTATATAAACAAACATAAACTGCTTCTGAGTGACTGGACAGCAAAACAGCTCTACTTGGAGACAACAGGAAAAAGTCGAACCCTGCAGAGTGCGTTGGCACTGCTCTACACTTTTTTGCCAGATTTTGACTGGAAGAAAATTAACATGAGGCATCAGTGGAGCACCATTTTTTGCTCTGGAAGCTGTGACTGTCCTATGCGAAACCACTACCTAGAAGAGGAACAGCGCAGACAGTACAGTTTACGGGTAAAAAACAATGATTTGGAGAAAATATATGTGGATATGGCAAAGATTGTAGGCATTCCCACCAGGCAGTTGAGAGCTTCTAACCCAATAGATTCTCTCCTGTGCTATTTTTGCCACAACGTCAGTTTTCCATGTACCAAAACTGGCTGCATCGGAATGGAACACTTCAAAGTAATCAAAAGACATCAGTTGGAGGATGAGAGAGAAAGACAGGAAAAGAAACTTTATTTCTTGTATGCACTATTGGCTACTCATCCTCTCCTCAACCAGACTGTTAATCGACTGCAGCGTATTGCAGAAGGCAAGAAAGAAGAAGTATTTGTTCTTTACTCTGCACATGATGTCACGTTGTCACCTGTTCTTAGTGCCTTGGGCATTACAGAGGCCAGATTTCCTAGATTTGCTGCCAGATTAGTTTTTGAGCTGTGGCAGGATGGGAAGAGACCCAAAGAACACTTTATCCGCATCCTGTATAATGGCGCTGATGTCACATTCCAGACCTCGTTTTGCAAGGATTATTATAAACGTTCCAGCAAGCCAATGTGCCCACTAGAAAAATTTGTCAACTATGTGAAGAGGGATATGTTCTTAGTTTTTAATAGCACTAGTTATTATGATGCATGTCGTAGAAGACCACTGTAGGGAAGGAAAGTGAAAAGGAAGCAGTGTCAACTCGCGTATCAGTGAAAGTCTGTGTTCTGGTTGAGGTGCAGTTCAGTTTTGTTATTTCTTGTACTTGTATGTGTACAAAAGGATATGGCTTGAAACATTCTTCAAATAGTTGTATTTTCATTCAGACCACAGATGGTCTCCCATAGGAGAGTAAATACTGAGGGAGTGTTTTGTGTATGCTCACATATGCTGTGTTAACTGCGATGAAATGATGAACCACATGGGCTACTGTAACCTGGATGTTGCTTGATAAAGACTGAGAGAGCATAGACTTTGTTTCTCTGTATTCCAGAGCAATACTTGGATATACCATAAGTTTAAAACCAAACTCAGCTTTTTTCACCACCATCTCACAGTAATTTTAAGTAATTTGTATCAAGGTATTTATGAATTCCAGGCATCTGCATCAAACCATTTGTAAGGAATTCTTGAAGCTCCCTACTCAAAAAGAAGTATTTTAATGTTTAGGGGCAGGTCTTTAAAACAAAGTGCATGTGTGTATCTGTGCATACTTACCTGAGCATGCACAAATGAGCGTGTGCCTTTTTGAACTCACAGACCTATAAATACTTGGCTATTGTTGCCAGTGCCAGAGAAGGATGTACTGGAAAACAGATACAAAACTCTCTTCTTTGATCGCACTTTCAGCACTTTGAATAGTTCAAACACAGTCTAGAAATATATACAGGTCTTGTGACATTAAAATAGATAGCAAACACTAACATTACCACTAAACTTGAGTGGGAAATTAGGATTAGAAATCAGTTTTATAGTGAAGTGTTGGGCTTTTTCCCCATTGTGAACATGTTCAAGCTGCTGTGCTATAGAACAATTCAGTGGTTTAGGAATTTGATATAGTGACTGCTTGAGACAGCTTGACTAAACACTAAGAAAATTTTGTAGTTGAGTTAGTATTTTTATGGACTAGGAAGCTCTTATTTTGTAAGATCTGACTTGTACATATTGTACTGTGTATATTTATAACACAGTAGATCTTTCTTACTTGTTTAGTTTGTAAAGACTTGTGAAAAGATGACTTTTAGAAATTTTTTCCCCTTGATCAGGATGTTTAGACTTAAGAATAACTGTCTTTTATGGGTAACGAGCAATGAGTAGATATGAAAACTTGTACTTCAAACTGCTTTTGTCTCTTTAGGAGTAATAAATTGAGAACCAATTTTTAGTAGAACTTACAGGAATTTTATAATGGTGGAGGTTTTTTACACCTCTAGAAATAATTTAGTCTGTGACTTGTGACTCAGTGGTGCTAGTTTATGAAAGAATACAGAACTCAGCATAGGTCCTCTGACTATTGGCATTCCACTCTGTTTTCAACGCTGCATTTGAACATGTTTCTTTAAATAAAATTTCGAGGACTCTTTGCATACTTGTGTGTTACCTTTATTCCTACTTAGCTGTTTGCAGTAACAAGATAAGTGTATATTGTTAAGCTGCTTGTTGCATTAGTAACAACTGCATGTTCTGGTTCCCAGTCTGAGAAGGAGCAGGTAAACATTTCATGAACACTGAAATAGAAATCATGATCAAAAATTTGGGACTTTTGTACCACATTAGAATGTGTTTTTCTTTTCTGTGTAATAGACTAGCTCTGTTAGTCGTCATACATGTTTGTGCGCTGGAGGGCAAACAGGAAGAGAGAATCTGAAAGTTGATCTTGCTTTCTACAAATTGTGTGAACTGGACTATTTGTCCAAAATAAATACCAAATACTCCAAACAGCTGTTGAGCTCTCTGAAAAAGGCAGCTATAGCTCTGCAGAGTGTTATCTCTTGGAGCTTTGATGCTCTTTGGTGACTATTTGCAGGAATGATGCTTAAGTGCAGAAAACATTACCATAGGTATATCATTGGTGTTTCAAATGTGTTATTTAGAAACTTTGAACCCTTAACAGATTCTGCAAATGCCAGTCTTGGTGTCTTCAAAAGCTTGTGCTAGGAATAGCATCTAACTTTGCGTCTTCTTCTGAAGACAGACCATAGAAGTGTTTTGTTTTGATTTCCTTGTGAAGAAGGATCCCCTTTGTCTGTTGTAGGGGTTCTGAGATACAGCCATGAATTCGAGGAGATGTGAATTTGGATTTCTCATTTGTCAGGCTCAAAGAAGCATTTAGATCTCAGATATATTGCAGCTATTTTCCAAACTTTTAGCTTAACTTTTTTTGTACAGCAGCAAAAATGCACTGATTTTATGGACCTTTGGTTGCTGGTCAACTAATAAGCATTCTACTGGAAGTCTCAAGGAGACCTTGGGGTTAATGCCTCTAGGTAAATCAGCTACATTGGGTGGCAGGAAATGTGTTCATCTGTATAGTTATACATAAAGAAGAAAGTGAGACAGATGCAGAAAGATCAGATTCTGTTAGTAGCTGCAGTTCCTCAGATTGCCCCAGATGTCAAACATTTGTCCTTTCTGGATGTCTAATCTCAATCAATGCTGCTATCTTAAAGGGTGTCCCCAAAAGTGGTGATAGTGGTGAATATGAAGTATTGCTATCCTCTAGCCATAGTTCTCTTTATGCTTAGAGAGATATGAGAACTAGTATTTAATTCCTCATTTCCATTCTCTCTTCCTCAGCCTTTGCTTCACTGTTACCTGTAAACTTCCCTTGTGTTTAAGGAGGGTGGAAAAGTGGGTGTAGGAATACTTGATGCTCTCTCAGGCGTTGTTCATGCCAAGCCCTCCCCCTGCTGTCACTCCTTACTGCACGGTCTCTGAATACAGGAATGATCCTTAACATAATGTTTTTAAGAAAGACAGTGAGGTGCTGAGTAACTTACAAAGAACAAACAAGTATCCAGTATATAAATGGAGGAGCACTAGCTGAATGTAAACCTTTTGCATAGGGAAATGTGTAAGAAAAGAGCTGTGTAGCCATAATTGAATGTAAAAAGGTGAAAGAAACAATGCACTTAACACCTGTTGATGTTTTGTCAGTTTTTCTTCTGACGTACAGCCTGTAACAGTTTGAATGATCAGGGTCATGTGTGTGCAGTATGGTGAAAAGGCATCTATGTTATTTTGACTGGTTTTAGTTGTTGCTCTTCCTGCATGCTTTTGTCCGTCCTTTTATAAAGAAATAAGGTTACATAAAAATTAACAGGTAAGTAACTTTTCTTGTTTCTAGGGAAAAACACAGATCATTGCAGTGTGTTCTTGTGATTTGCTCATTTAAAACGTGTATGATTTGCTGTTAATGGAACTTCTCCAGAACTCCAGCAAGAATTAGTAACTTTATAATGCAGTATTTCTGCTGTCCAGACAGCTTTTGAACATCTCCAAGGGTGGAGACTCCACAACCTCCCTTGGCCACTTGCACCAGTACTCAGCTACCCTCCCAGGAGAGGCAGGAGGGAGTTTCCTTCTGTTCAAGTGGAACCTCCTGTGTTTCACTTTGTGCCCACTGCTCCTTGTCCTGTCACTGGGCACCACTGAAAAGATACCTTTTCTTCACACCCTTCCTTCAGATATTTATACACATTGATGAGATTCCCCCCGAGCCTTCTGTTTTCCGGGCTAAACAGTCGCAGATCTTTGTCTTTGCTCATATAAGAGATGCTCCCGTCCCTTAACCATTGTGACCCTTTGGTGAGGACTCTCCAGTAGCTCTGTATCCCTTGTGCTGGGCATGATGAAGAGCACTGATAGCTGTTTCAGCCAAAATGACCTTCCACTATGGTCAGGGCAGTGGTAAGAAACCTGGATTCGGGAAATTAAGGAAAATCCAGAGCAAAATTTTCAAAGATACAGAAGGGCCAGATTCTTCATATCGTTTAGATGGCTGAAGATGGAGGTCAGTTACAGCGAAAGATTTCTTTTCCTGTCTTTTCCTATTTTTGTCCTAATGTCATAAATAATTTTCATTTTCTCCTGTAGCAGTCAGTGTGAACAAGAACTAACTTGCCATGTTGCTAGTACCTGCTTACCTGTATGTATGAGGGTCAGTGGGTGGGCGTTACCAAACCTCTAAGGTAAAAATAAATAAAGCAAGCTAATTATTCTTCTGTATATACATGGTTCATTAACATATGCTCATCTCTTCTAAGACACATGCTCAGAAGATCTGCAGCAATGAAAGACATGATACATCTCCCATGCCACTGGAAGAAACAAAAAGAAAGAGCTGCAGGGCTGAGATTCTTCTCACAAACCTCTGATTTGGCTATGGAGACAAAATAATAAGCAAACTGCATTATCAAACTTGATTAATTATTAGGTTTTAAAGTTTGACCAAATTTAGAATTCAATTTACAATTGCAAGTGGATTTATATTTGGGCTAAGGCTATAAATTTAACTACCTGAACAATGGAAAGAGGAATTGGTGGGAATTTATTTATCCTGGAATTGATGAATGCTGTTTCTATAGGGATGGATTGATGAATTAAACCTACCAACGGGGAAGCGTTGACTTGTGCAGTTGCACAGTTTAATCAAGTAATAGAGCAGAAATAAAAGCTTCTGGTTAGGGAATGCTGTTTGAGATCTCCTTGTTGCCTTGAAATCAATGTAGGAGTGGGATGTTTTTCTGTGTGCTAAACACAGTATTTAGAAACTGATGTTTAAATGTGTTGAGTACTTGTAGCGTGAGTGAAACGTGTAGTGTTTCCTCATAAAATTCAGATAATTTTCCAGGACTGTAATGACACAGTTTCTCTTCCCAGCCTCCCCTCACCCCCATTTGTTTCAGTTCTGATAAGTGTAATAGCTTTAGTTTCAAATGCTCCTTGAGCGTTATGAATGCCAAATGGCTTGGTTTGAGCTGTCATATTCTATTTTTGTATTTGAGTGATTGAGACGACATCTAAATGCAAAATATTTGAGTGCAAAGTAGTACAGACAGAAGGTTCTCTTTGAAAATGCTGTCTGAGGCTGAGATTTGAAGAAAAAAAGAAATAGGATGCCCTCTCGTGGCAGTTTTCTGTTGTACAAAAATTGATTTGTGTGCATTGAG